TCTCATCAACGATAACCTCTCCAATGTATTGAAATACATTTTAAACTTTGTGAGGCTTTCCTGTGTAACTCAAATTCAAAATGTTTGTTCCTCTAGGAACAAAACTTGCTTAATCACTTTTATTGTTCCTGGCCACATCTCTTGGGTTAAGATCCTTTATAACAGGAAAAGACACAGTGGCACATATACTAAATTAATATAAACTGTTGTTGCAAACACCAAGAAGCAAAGATTAAAAACCCAGATTCTTCAAGCAGAGGCTAAATAAACAACAATAAATGGGTGTTTTCCATAAATATGACATTCCGTTCATGTGAGAAAATGCAGAAAACACTGAAGTGTTTTTAACTGCATTTAACAGTGGAGATTTTTTTCTTTTAACATGTGCTAATTAAACCCATCTCTAGTCAAAGACAGGAATTAGGTTCCTGGAACCACACAACCATTTGACATTTAAAGGTAACATTCCTGAGAGAGCCTGTCAGCCAAGTGGGTAGGCAGTGACATCACCCACCTCTACCACCACCACCACCACCACCTCCACCACCTTTGTTGTTATCATTATCACATCACCATCAAATATTCATGGCTTTACTCTGCTGAAATGCCCATATATCCCAGAGGGTACACTCAATGTTAAATGTTTCCCATATGGCACCTCTCCTACTTTGAAACACAGAATTAGTAATTTCTATATGTTATTTAGTTAAAAAGAAGAAAATTTTAATGAGACCATGTTTAATTTTAAGTCTAGAGACATGAAATCTGCGAAGATTTCAAAAGCAGGTTCTCTGTACTGCTTCACTAACAACTTTCTATTCTTAGTTAATAGAAATATGAGGAAAAATTCTAAGTACTACAGAAAAGAAAGTGTTTTCAAGTACTGATATCTAAAACTTGATGAACTTGCTTATTTGTTGATTAGTCCACCTTAAATGTGTGCTCAAAAATAATTTACAGTATTTCTTTAATTTTTTGAAATTTATATAGACTTACCCACTATAAGCTAGTGATAATGTCAAGATTTGATTATATACTGTCTAGAATATAAGCTTTCTTTGACATAGTCTCCCATTTATAACTATCATAGAAAATAAATTGGATGGAAGAAAACTCAGTTCTTCTACAAGGCAGTGTGTTTGCAGCATCCTAAGTCCTTGCTTCTTTTTCAAGTAAACGGACTAGCAGCCTCTCCTCCAAAGGCCAAAAGTAAACATAAGTCCACCATGCCTCTTCACCAAACTGAAGAAGAAATATATCCTATTTTGTTGATTTAATTTTCATGAGGGGTAGAAAAGAAATGAAAAAGCCACAATGTCCAACCTTGGTTGTTGTGGAGGGGACATGTATCATGATCACAAACAAGCACAATATTCTGAACTCCTGGTTATCAGCTTGGGGGTGGCTGGGAGTGGGATGGTAGTTTGAGGACAGGAAGAACTCACACAGACCACCCACTATGATGTGGATGATATTACTCAACATCTTACAAGACTTGCAATTTAATTAGATGCCATTTTCTAGTAATTATTACATACTTGACAATAAACATATGTGACAATCACCTACTATCCCATAAGATACAAATAAATTTTTTAGGTGATTATAACAGTCTACCTCAAAATTACTCCCAGAGAAATAATTCAATTTCAAGAGTCCAATTCCTAGAAGACACGTTTTAACTAAACCCAATATTGAAACAGAAGTTAAAGGCTTTATGATTAATAAACAAGATGACCATCTTCTGGTCACTTAAAAGCTGGTCCTATGTTACTATTTTATGTTCATGAAGTAAATTTGATAAAAGATATCAAAAATAATTATACATGTATATACAGTCCCTGACTTTCAAAAAGTTTAGAGGATGTATCTACATTTTTAATATACCTCTGAAAAGTAAGAGATACTTTTTCTTACTTTTCTCCATTTAGTTATAAATTCTTTAAAGAGTCATGACTCAGCCCCAGCCAGGTGGATCAGTTGGTTGGAGAGTCATCCTGTACACCAAAAAAGGTTGTGGGTTCCATTCCTGGTCAGGGCACATATCTCAGTTGTGGGTTCAGTCCCCAGTTGGGGCATGTTCAGGAGGCAACCTATCAATGTTTCTCTCTCACATCAATGTTTCTCTCTCTCTCTCTTCCTCTCTAAATCAATAAACATATCCTCAGGTGAGGACTAAAAAATAAATAAATAAATAAATAAATAAATAAATAAATAAATAAAGCGAATCATGACTCAACACTAGGGAATATGTCTTAAAATATGGTAATATTAAAGTAGGAAGTGTGAGCTGTCTACATAAGAAACGTCTAAACCTGTAAGAATTTTTATGAGTTTATTTGAGCCAAACTGATTGACAATTACCAGGAAGCAAAATCTCAATGGACTTGAGAAAGTGCTCCAGAAAATAGCAGCTTTGCACTTTATTTATACATTACAATCAGAGGAGACATAAGGGGGTTACATGAAATCCACTGGTGATAGATTAGGGAGATGGGAGAAAGCAAAGTGTGGAAATCTCTGGGATTGGATAAAAAGTAAATGAATAGACACATACTTCTTTTATTTAGATAAGTCTAGGATAGTTAACAGTCAACAATTAACATAATAACAATAACAATAAGGGGTTTTGTGGGCAACTTCTCCTGGAGCTCAGAGAGTTGTACACACAAAACAAGAATTATTGATGTTGCCTAGAATGCATCCAAGTCTACAATGCACCAAGCCCCAAGTAAAGAACTGCACGGTGCCCACTGACAGCGCACTGTACTGACAGTAGGAGTCCCATCATGCACTGCCCCTGTGCCACAAGAAGGAAGCCAAGCTGACTCCTGAGGAGGAAGAAATTTTAAACAAAAAATGATCAAAGAAAAATTAGAAGTAATATAATGAAAGGAAAAAGAATTCCAGAATCAGCAGTCTTCCCAAGCAGCAGTTCTAGCAGGGCAAGCTTTTTGCATGCCTTTCTCCCAGGCCAGGCTAACATGTCCAAACAGACGATTATGTGCTTGAGGGCAAAGAGCTGGAGTTCTAGCTGAGGAAAATCAAGGCCCAGAAAGACAAACAAATCCTCTTCCCTCCTATCTTAGCTCATGTAATATTCTAAAAAAAAAAACAAAAACAAAAAACCAGAACAAAAAAACCTGGGGACAGGATGTAAACTCCAAATTTTTTAAAAAGCAGGTTAACTACTGGGAAGTTGCTGTTAGAGTATGAAGCCTTTTGTGCGTGTGATAATATAAAGATCCCAGGACCAATAGTGGGGGGGGAGGAGGTAGGAGATCTGAAAAAATGTGACATGTTAATATCCGTTAAGTGGAAATTATTGCAAATGGTTATGTGCAGTGTGACAACATTTATGTATATTTAAAACACTACACAATACCACATTGTTAAATTGGAATGGTGGGAACTTGAGTTTCTATTTTATTATTTTCTGTAAGTTTGGAATATTTCATAATTTATACTTTTAAACTAAATTTTAAATAAGAAAAATGGACAGAATAGAGTTAATAAAAATAGCTAACGTGGATAATTGTTAAAGTTGGTGATGGGTTCATAGGGACTCATCATAGTACTTTTTTTTGGTAAGTTTGACATTTTTGCATAAGTTTGACATTTTTCCATAATAAAAAGTTTTATTAAAGAGATATATATATATGTATACACACACACACTTGTTTTCACTTCCAAGGAAAAAGACATGCATTCCTAATGAATGCAATGGAAACCCATTTTTGACTGAAAAGAGAGCAGCAGGAGACCCCTAATTCTCAGTGGTCAACCAAAAAAAAACACAACAAAACCCTAAAATTAACTGACATTATTATCTATCATAAATTAATGCAATACCTGGTTCACTGGGAATTTTGCACTTTAAAGTTTAGCATATTTGTTACACAGCACAAACCTTGCTTAGTCAAGTGCTAACTTTTGCATACGAAAATAATGTGACTGACCCAAGTGAAGGAGTGAAGGGTATGCTCAGGCTTGAACTTTGGAACCTTGTTTTTACAGTACAGATGGATTTAAAAAAAGAAATCCCCTCTCTCTCATGACATCCCAAATGTGAGTCAAGGATTTAGAAGACATGGAGCTGAAATCTAGCTAGCGTAGTTGATACTCATAGCCCCAAAGTCTAAAACCAATGCCTTAAAATAACTGCTTTTTTAACTTCAGGGCTATTCAAGGGCATTAATATGTTACACGGTATTGGGCATAAGTAGAGTCAATACAGACCACTGACCCATTCTCAGCAAACACTGAACTAATTTAATGAGCTATAAACACAACAAACTTTATGTCTTGCCAGATTTGCCCACTGCTCCTCCTGAACTTTCTCAGGTGACCTGAAGTGAGGATTAGGTAGCAAATACAATGAAACCAGTAACTCCCAAAGACCATCAAGGCCCCGATTTGTCCCAATCCCCATGGTCTTTTTCACTTCCCTTAACCTTCCTCCTCCAAAATCTACATCAATACCTGAAGACAATATATCAACAACCTTCCAAGCACCAAAGAGACAAAAAGTACCCCAGTCGGTGTGACTCGGTTGAGCGTGGTCCCATGCAACCAAGAGGTTCAATTCCCGGTCAGGGCACTTGCCCGGGTTGCAGGCTCAATCGATCCCCAGTGTGGGGTGTGCAGGAGGCACCTGATCAATGTTTCTCTCTCATCTATGTTTCTATCTCTCCCTTTCCCTTCGTCTCTCTCTAAAATCAATAAAAACATTTTTTTTAAAAAAGAGACAAAACGTGTAAATGATGCCATATAAATTATTTTTAAAAAGCAAAAACATCTTGTTATATTGACATTCAGAAAAGTCTAGGGCCAAAAACAACATTAATGGCACTACAAATATATTACAAAAGATATTTCTTAAATGATCTTTGTGTGATTTATTTCAAAAGGTGATCAGCGGTTGGAAAGAGAAAAAATCCTGATAGGAATAAAAGCATATTTTTATTTGAATTGTATTCTACCCTTTAGAGTTAACCTACCTCAAGTTTAAGTAAGTCAGCATTTGCAGGTTAACGATGGCCTCAGGAATGACTCTGATACAATTATGATATAGGTTAAGAATTTCCAGTGATACAAAGTGGCACAATTCCATTGGAACTTCAACCAGTCTGTTTTTAGATAAATCTGTGAGAAAAAGAAAGAATATTTTGTCACTAAATCTTCAACATAATCCAATACAATTTTATCAACTATCATACTTTTTTCTTAACATGTTTTAAAATAATCATTATAGCCTACATTTAGATCAACATTATCATTTTTTGTGCGGTTCTTAGTATTACATTGTGATCTCCATTTAGTAGCATATTTGCCCAAGTCACATGGAAAAACAAAAATACTGCTGAAAACAGTTTTAGTTCTCTTTATTAATTTGTAAATTCAGGCCAGAAAGAAAGGTAACTGAATCAATATTTACTTTTCAATCTATCTGAAAATTATTTCAAAGTTATTCTCCCCTAGACAAGAATGTAAAACTATATCCTTTAATATATCTGAATATGTATATTTATCACAACATTTAATTTCTTTAATTCAATTTTGCATTCATAACATGTATTGTCTCTTGGAATATGACTTTTATATCTTCCTCAAGCAAACACATAGTAGATGCTAAACAAATATGTCATTCACTAGGATTACTGAATGCCTACAATGTACAAGAAGGACATAAATCAGTTGTACCTGTTAAGGACTGACACTGTGTTTGCCACATGACCTGCAGTAAAACTGGGCTCTCTTGGCCAAATGTTCTCTTGACCTACTGAGCAATGTAAGCACACATAAAGTTTATAATGTCACCATCTCAATAACAAAAATATAGAATAGTCCTTAATGTCTAAATCTGGGAATGGTAGACATTCACAAATACCATAAAACACTGTAAGGAAAGAGCCCCCACTCTCAAAAACAGTAACTCAATAACAACAGACCACCTTATACTTTATTAGGAGGGACTCAATCAGTACAACTTGAAGATGTTTAGTAAGTAACATATAATGTATACTTAAGGAACCACACTCCATACAAACAAACAAAAAAGCACAAAAAACTTAAATAGGTCAATACTATAATGAAATAAAAGTCAAAGAGCTACCTTCATGACTATCCTGCCAACAAATACATAAACAAAAACTGGCCTAGATGACTTCAGAGAGAAATTCTAAGAAATTCTAACGGGACAATTCTGATAATATTTAAACTATTCCAAACCATATAAAAAATAAAGAGGAAAGTTTCCAAATTCTTATTTAAAATAAAGAAAGTACACACAAGGGAAATTACATGCGTATCCCTTCTAAGTACTGACATAAGTCTTAAATTTAAAAATTAGCAAATAGCCCTGGCTGTTGTGGCTCAGTTACTTGTAGCATCACCCTGTGCACTAAGAGGTCACCGGTTCAATTCCCAGTCAGGGCACATGCTCAGGTTGTGGCTCAATGCCCAGTAGGGAGCACACAGGAGGCAACCAATTGATGGTTCTCTCTCAATGATGCTTCTCTCTCCCCCTCTCCCTTCCTCTCTCTCCCTTCCTCTCTCTCTCAAATCAATAAAAACATTATATATATGTGTGTGTGTATATATAAATTTGCCCCACCAGCATTTGTGTGTATAACTGATCCCCCAGCCCCTTGAAAATCTTGGCCTCATCCAGCGAACAAGATGAACTTGAGGTCTCCCATCTTCTTGGTTCGTGCCTTCTCCATCAGGAAAGCTTTCTTTACTCCAAACCCTGATGTGAGAGGAGTTTTGGCTTTCTGAAGCATAAAGCACGTGAACTTTGGTTCAGTAACACTATTAAGTGGCAGAAGCAAGAGATTGAACCATTAGATATGACACCAAAGCCCTGCTCTATTGATTCACAGCACTGTAATAAAGGGAAGTTCAGTTGTTCCTGTGGGTATCTCTCATTAAAAAAAAAAAAAATTAGGGATACATTTCAGATGCCTGGTCCGGAGACATTACATGATCCCAGAGCTCTGTACTAAAAGTAAGTGGTCTTTAACCAGGTTCCTAATATTTCCTCCAGAAGAAGGGCATGTGTATTGGTGCCTTGTTTCTTCCACCCACCGCAAGTTGGAAACTGTCATTCCTGCTGCAAACCCATGGTGGGGCCTAGCCCTGCCCTGGGGAGTGAGGTATACCACAGCTCTGCAAACAGCCCAGCAGCAAACCGGAACCCAGAACCATGTCCTCCCATGTTGCTTCTTAATTGAAGTGTTCAAGTGAAAGCCATGCAGCCAAAAATAAAACAATAAGTTCTGTTATGGCCAAAACAAGCTCAGCAAATCCCTAAAATAAAGTAGCCAAAGGAATAAAAATAAGCAGGGGAAGGTAGAAAACTGCCAATGGAATCTTGTGTGTAGTTAGCACCATTAGAGGTATGATGTTTTGTATAAAAAATGAAAGCGGTGCCTCTGGAGGAACTGGATGGTGCCTGGCTCTTCAGCAACAACATCCTGAGCTATCAGCCACCACAGCCACAGAGCAGAAGTGCTGACAGGGGACAGCTGTGAAACTCATCTGCAATGTATTCTCTTCTAGTCAGAAGAAAATGCCTAATGCTGGAAGTCAGAATCACATCCAGCTTCGCCAAGACCAAGTGATATATGTCTGACCATCGCAACCCTCTTGCAACCTTGGTCCCTCAGGTGGAAGGATGGTCTGGTGCCAGTTGCCCTCTCTGAACAACCTATATCCCTCTTCACCTAGGTAGGTGTCCATCAAGAAGAACCTCAGTTATATCTTCCTATCCCTCCTCAACTTCCTCCACAATGGCCCCAGTATATGACTGCCCCTCACTTCAACTTCTCCCTGGGCACAGACACCCCACCCAGCTCCATGACTCAGCATCTGCACATTTAAGAAAACACTGGAGTAGGAAATGCTGTCCAGGCAGTGAAGCAGAGCCCAGAGGCTGACTCAACCTTGACTACAAAGATAAAACACCCAACACTTCAGGGTTAAACAGGCAGAAATAATAAGCGGATTCCTAAAAGTTTTGAGTGAGTTAGTCAAAATCTCAGGCTACATCTCTAAGAGATCAACACAAAAAATCATGTCAAACAGTAGACATCTGTTAAATAATTCTTCATTATGAACCATGAGGTCTTCCCTGACCACCTACTTAACTTTACAGCATATCACGCCCTGGCCAGGTGGCTCAGTTGGTTAGAGCACCATCCCATACACCAAAGGTTGGGGGTTCGATACCCAGTCAGTGCACATACCTAGGTTGGGAGTTCAATCCCAGTTGCGGTATATACAGGAGGCAACTGGTCGATGTTTCTCTCTTTCTCTCCCTTCCTCCCTCTCTAAAAAAAAAAAAGTCAAAATACATAACCTCAGGTGAGGATAAAAAAGTTGTCAGCTTATCAGTCTTAACCTCCTTATTCTGTTCAACGTTTTCTTTTTTTCTTAGCACTTAACCTCTAAAATAGTATGCAAATTTATTCATGTGTTATGATTGTTCATCTGTTTCTATTTTCTCTATGAGGACTGTGATCTGGTATACAGTATGGTTTACTGGTATACAGTAAGAGCTTAATAAATACTTGTTGAATGAATATAGTAGGAAAACAGGTTCTTAGTTCAAACAGTTTGAGTTCAAATCATGGTCCCACCACTTAGCTGTGTGTATGAGGAAATAATTACTTAATTTCTCTATGCCTCTGTTTCTTCACCTGTAATAAAAGAATATTAATTGTACTGGCCCCACTGAATTATTGAAAGAATTAAATGAGATGACACAGATAAAGTCCTTAGAGCACCTGGCACAGAGAGAATCATTCCAAGAATAGCCTCTATCACTGTTTTAGCTAATGCTGGGTTCTGAGGATTTGTAGCAAGAAATCAGGTCTGAGCCCTCTCCAGGTAGCTCAGTTGGTGAGAGCACCATCCCCATACTCCAAGGTTGAGGGTTCTATTCTGGGTGAAGGCACATACAAGAATCAACAAATGAATGCATAAATAAGTGGAACAACAACTCTCTCTCTCTCTCCCCCTCCCACAGTCCCTCCCTTTCTTTCTCCTTCCCTTCCTCTCTCTAAAATCAATAAATAAACAAAAAATAAATCAGGCCTGAGCTGGAAAGGAGTTTCAAATCTAACTGACAAGCACGTGAAGCACACCATACACACAATGCCTCATGATAACAAATCTTAGTTGAAAGAATTAGAAATAAATAATTCTGTATTATGAGTGGGGGCGGGGAATAAGTTGGCTTAAAGTTTTCCTTTCAAAGGTTAAAGGAGGAAATAAGAAATAGAAATTAGTTTTGGTAAATGCCAAGACGCATATGACAGATTAGACTCTTAGCCAGGTGATTTTACTAGCAGGCGATACCTATTAAGGACACAAAGTACTAAACAGGTAATTACATACAGGTAGCTATTATTGAACAAATCCATTTATTGAAATGTTGATAGCAAAAATTGATTTCTTTATCAGACCTGTCCTATACAGAGTTGCAAAAATACTAAGAAATAAAATTTTACAGATGATGTATTATAGAATTGTACACCTGAAATCTATATAATTTTATTAACCAATGTCACCTCAATAAACTCAATTAAAAAAAAAAAAAAAGAAATAAAATTGAGGACAAGCATAGATGTGGGGGGAAAAAAATCCCTGTCCCAAAGTACAATCATTTTACTTAAAGAAACTTTAAAAGGCTCACTCAGAAGCTTTTTACTCTTAAACACAATTCTAAGAAATGCTGTTATTGACTGTTCCAGCTCCATAGCACTTTAGCAAACACAAATAGATAAGGAAAAGAGAGGTAACCATTAAAAAGCACACTTCTGCCTGGCTGGGCGTGGCTCAGCGGTTGAGCATCAATCTAGGATCCAGGAGATCTCAGTTCAATTCCCGTTCAGGGCACATGCCTGAGTTGCGGGCTCGATCCCCAGTCAGGAGCGTGCAGGAGGCAGCCAATCATTGACGACTCTCTCATCATTGATGTTTCTATCTCTCCCTCTCCCTTCCTCTCTCTGAAATCAATAGAGCTATATTTAAAAAATAGACTTAAAAAGTACACTTCTAACAAATATCTACATGTATTTTAAAATTTAAGTATTTTAAATTTAAAAATTTTTAATGTGTTGATCCTGAGAAAAAGATAACCACAAAGAAAGGCTCCTGATGGCAAACTGGGTTCAAATTTACAAACAGAACCCAGCAGTCATTC